CCCCTCCACCCCCCCTTCCTCACCCCCATCGATCGTCGATGAGAGTTCCAGCGCACCAGCGCGAGCGAAGGCCTCCTTATCCATCCTCTTCCCTGAGCTGTAGCTTTTTCTTCGCGGCGAGGCCGAAGCCATTGCCCCTGGGAGGCCGAGGCCGACCCCGAGATCAAACTGGGGACGAGGCCGAAGCCATTGCCCCTGGCGCCGAGCAAGAAGCCAAATCGGTAGGGGTATCCCCCCACAGTCGCATGTTACAAAGGAGCGGATTGACTCTCGATTCGAAACGCTTTCATGTATTTATATTTTTCCCAACCATCCTGTGGTGTTGGGTCCTCGTTTTGAAGAGACGGTGCCCCGCGTCCTTCTCCTCCTCCGCCTCCTCTCCTCCTCCTCCCCCCCTTCTCCCTCCCCCATTGCCTCTGCCCTCCGCGTGTCTCTGTTTCGGCGCATCCTTCACGCGTTCCGTGGCCACATAGGGAGCTCCACCGAAGGCCCCAGTGGCAGGGCCCGCATGGCGGCCCCGCATTTTGGCGCACCCCTCACACGGTTCGTGGCCCCATGTGGAGCTCCACCGAAGGCCCCAGTGACAGGGTCCGCATGGCGGCCCCGCAACATTTTGGCGCACCCCTCACGCGGCTCGTGGCCCCATAGGGAGCTCCACCGAAGGCCCCAGTGGCAGGGTCCGCATGGCGGCCCCGCATTTTGGCGCACCCATCACACGGTTCGTGGCCCCATAGGGAGTTCCACCGACGGCGCCAGCGGCAGGGTCCGCATGGCGGCCCCGCAACATTTTTCGGCGCACCCCTCACACGGTTCGTGGCCCCATAGGGGGCTCCACCGAAGGCCTCAGTGGCAGGGTCCGCATGGCGGCCCCGCATTTTGGCGCACCACTCGCACGGTTCGTGGCCTCATAGGGAGCTCCACCGAAGGCCTCAGCGGCAGGGCCAGCACGGCGGCCCCGCATTTTGGCGCACCCCTCACACGGTTCGTGGCCCCATAGGGAGTTCAACCGAAGGCCCCAGTGGCAGGGTCCGCATGGCGGCCCCGCCCCATTTTGGCGCACCCCTCACATTGGCGCACCCTTCGCGCGCTTCGTGGCCCCATAGGGAGCTCCACCGAAGGCCCCAGTGGCAGGGTCCGCATGGCGGCCCCGCCCCATTTTGGCGCACCCCTCACGCGGCTCGTGGCCCCATAGGGAGCTCCACCGAAGGCGCCAGTGGCAGGGTCAGCATGGCGGCCCCGCTCCATTTTGGCGCATCCCTCACACGGTTCGTGGCCACATAGGGAGCTCCACCGAAGATGATGCCCACAATTGCGGCATTAACAATTGCTTATGGTTGGGTCTTTCGCCGGGCTAATTTCTTGAACAAGCAGCGTCTCGTTCGAGCCATGTCCTGAATTTTGCCTTCGGAGTGCTCTCGGATGACTTCCTAGATGGCTCCACGAGGAGGGGGGGGGGAGCAGGAGGGGGGGGGGATGAGAAGGAGGAGGAGGGGGGGGGGGGGGGGGGGGGAGGAGGATGGGGGATGAGGAGGAGGAGAAGCACCCTCCGCCGCCTCCTCCTCCTCCTCCTCCTCCTCGCCATCATCATCATCATCATCATCGCTGTGTTCGCGCCCTTCTGTCGATGGCCATTTTGGCTCGGGGCTGTAAGGGCCTTATTTCCGCAGTGGCTCTGGCCTCGCGGGAGGAGTGCTTACAGCAGCGCCTGGCTGCATGCAGTCTGGAAGTCTTGCGCGGAGAACGCTTGCAGGCGAACCGTTGACGGCTTTTCCAATCAAGCAGTTTTGGGTGCAGAACGGCGACTCTGGTGCATTATGGTGGGATTTGGATTATCTCTATGCTCATTTCAGGGACACTGGTGTTACGACGCTGAAGAGGCACAAGTGGCTATGCGGCGTGAAAAGTACATTGTCTTCAGATCCTGCGACGTCTGTTTCTTGTCACGTGCATCTGCATCGAGCTGATCAGCCAGCCAGATGTCGTGAACGCCGACGCGTGCACTACAGTCGGCGTTCTGGTTGCCCTGGCAAAGGGCATCGATGGTTCTCGGTCGGCGCAAGGCGTCGACGTGCCATGTGCCGTGTTTCGGCACATCGCACCCGCGTCCTGTCCGGTGGTGCAGCCGCTGGGCCCGCGAATGTTCAATTGTTCCTATGGTGGTTTCAGTATCGACTGCGATGGGCGCATGTATGGGCGGCAGCTCCTGTGCACAGAGGTCTGTGGCCATAAGGCGACTGTGGACGTGGTCGAGCATCTTTGGGGATCCTTGCGCGCTCAAGGCATATTGCGGCACCCTTTCCAGTGCGAGAGCCACTCGCTGGCCGACGTCGTTGTGTTCATATGTTTAGTTTGCAAGCAGCGCAGGTCTGATGGTCGCTGCCCTAGCGAACGGCTGGACACGTTTCGCAACATGTGCTTCTTAATTGTGGTATCGCAATGTTTGGGGGTTTTGTTCTCCGAGCTCGTGCAAGCTCGCTATTGTAACGATGGCAATGTCGGTGTTATGTGCCCACCCCCTGCTATTCGGACGACTAAATGCAAACGCAATTACGTAGCAGTTGACGCTGAGGCCGCGTGGGACATGCTCGAGAAGGCTATGCAGGTCGGCACTAGCCTCGAGGCAGCACTTGCGTTGACAAGCGACGAGGCCGCTTATGGTTGCACCGAAAGCCAGGGGGCTAAATGGATAAACGTCGCCCTGCAGCTTTACTACAATAGGTGCGAGAAGCTTTGGCCGAAGGACGACGTCAACCATTACAACTTCGTATCTGATCCAGGGCATCACAAGCTACATGGAGTGCCTGGTCACTCTGGCCTACTCGTGGGAACAGGACTGGGCTTCGGGTTTAAACTCGCTGCCTGGATCGGGTCTCGGGGGAGAGGGCGATATGCATGTATGTGTGTATATATACATATATATATACACATATATATACACATATATATATATATATATATGTAATTACACACAGATTTACATATATATATATATATATATATATATATATAGCGAGCGTGGATGGCATATGCGGGGGTTGCGCGCGTGCCTCGCTGGGCTCGCTGTGCTGCCTGCGGGCCCGCAGTCGGCGCGTGGCGCCCAGTGTCGGCGCCGCGAAGGTCTGCGCACCTGCCCCCCTATGCCGCCCCCTGCTGCCCTTGGTGGCGCACTCAGGTCGCAGGGGGGGATGGGGGGCAGGGTGGTCTTCTGCTTTTTCCCTTAAACAGCGCTCCCCTGCTGGGTTGCCCTGCTGCTTCGCGTCGCCCTGCAGGGTCTGCACACCTGTCCCCCTATGACGCTCCCTGCTGGCCTTGGTGGTGCACTCAGGTCGCAGGGGGGGATAGGGGGCAGGGGGGTCTTCTGCTCTTTCCCCTAAACAGCGCACCCCTGCTGGGTTGCCCTGCTGCTTCTCGTCGCCCTGCAGGGTCTGCACGCCTGTCCCCCTATGGCGCCCCCTGCTGGCCTGGGTGGTGCACTCAGGTCGCAGGGGGGGATGGGGGGCAGGGGGGTCTTCTGCTCTTTCCCCTAAACAGCGCTCCCCTGCTGGGTTGCCCTGCTGCTTCCCGTCGCCCTGCAGGGTCTGCACACCTGCCCCCCTATGGCGCCCCCTGCTGGCCTGGGTGGTGCACTCAGGTCGCAGGGGGGGATGGGGGGCAGGGGGGTCTTCTGCTCTTTCCCCTAAACAGCGCTCCCCTGCTGGGTGGCCCTGCTGCTTCCCGTCGCCCTGCAGGGTCTGCACACCTGCCCCCCTATGGCGCCCCCTGCTGGCCTGGGTGGTGCACTCAGGTCGCAGGGGGGGATATGGGGGCAGGGGGGTCTTCTGTTCCTTCCCCTAAACAGCGCTCATCTGCTGGGTTATATATATATATATATATATATATATATATATACACATATATATATGTATATATCTATATATATATATATATATGTGTGTGTGTGCCGCCTTCTCGGGATATGGTGATGGTCGGGCTTGCATTTTGACTCATGGTTTTCTGGGCTTCGTATGGAGGGGGGGGGAGAGGGTGAGTTAGCAAGTTTCTGGGCGGCGCCCATGAGGACACTGGCGCGTTTCCGCCATGGCAGCACCTCTTGCCAGGGAAGGAGCTCACGCAGGACGACGCCGCAATGGACGATACCATCGCAACCATAGCTGCGAGGAACAAGCTTGAGCGCGTGGCCGCCTACAGGCAGTTGCAGGGGACGTCGCATCAGCTTTACCTGCTGTCAGGGCGCGCGCTTGACGAGTTCGACTTGCCTGACGCTGCGAATGTGAGGCCGACCGACCAGACCGAGTCTCGCATTGTTGTTCCAGACGTGGCGAGCGGAACGGATACTGCGTACATGGAGGACAGGATGTCTGGAGAACGGCTTGCAATTTTACCCGCCGGTCGTGCGAAGGTTCCGCTTTTGACGCTGATGCTTGACCAGGGGTCGATCGGGACAGCAGGGGCAGCGTTTTCTATGTTCCACCAGGGCAAGATGATCCACGCCAGGTTCGACAAGATCCACAGGGTCATCAGGGACTTGAAGCATGCAGAGAAACATTGTATGGATTCTCTTTTTATGGTGTGCAAGATGTGGTCAGCGTACCTGTACGGCATGAACAATAGGCCTGTCAATAGCGGATCAAATTTCACGAAACAGAAAAGACTGCTGGAGATATTTTCTCAAACTTCTGATATCGATTCTCCAGTGTTCAGGAAGTACTTGCATCACATTGCCAACGATTGGGACATGCCATGTGACAGTAGGGCAGAGATCCAAGCCCCATATTCGACAACGTATTGCAGATGGAGTCTTTCAATAACAAGATGAGCCAGCCAAAGCAGGCCAACTGGTTCGCATGGAACAAGGCAGCGCGCGAGCAAATCCCTGAGTTCTGGGCCACCAAGATGGTGCTGGAGTCGCAGCTGGACGACGTCGACCCCGACTCAATCGATGGTTTTGCTGGCAGGAATCCTTCGGCGCAGCTTGTGAAACTGTTGAAAGCAGGAGGCGGCTTACGTTTAGCATACAAACTCATGACGGCATCGATGCACGCGAACGTAAAAATCATGAAGGCAAGGTCGTGGGCGCGCTGTTCCCGAAGCCATGCAGGCGCGCCCAAATCTCAAACGCAAATGGGGTGGTTGTGGCGGGCCTTTCAGATTGACAAGCAGGCTTGCGATCAATATGTTCGGCATGCCGCAACCACAACATGTGCTAATGCTTTGGGCGCGCGCCGCGCGTGGCTGTGGGCGCTGCGCACCCTGTTCCGAAAGGTGGCTGAGAATCCATTGGTATACTGAGCAGGTAACAAAGATCAAAACGCCGAACCATGCGTTCAACTACCTCATGGGCTTGGCCAATGGAGGGTGGCAGTTCCAGGACCACGTGTGGAACACAGTGTACAATACTCTGCACGACAGCGACAACTTGAAGTTCATGGGCATGCACCCAGGGGAGAGCGAGGAGGCCAAGAAGGCATTATCGCTGACGCTGCACATTGTTCAGAATCGGATGTGGACCATGACCAAGCACAGCCTGCCCCCTGATAGCTATGCAGCCGTGGCGTCGCCCTCCGCGCACATTGCTGACGGGTCCTGCGCGACGATGAGGACGGAGCATCACAACCTTGTGGTTTTAGAGAGTGTTCGGCACACGAATGCCGCAGCACAGGCGCTGTGGGACGACATGGCCTTGGTTGCAAAGTCTAAACCAATCAGGGCGCTGTTTGAGTTCTTTTGCCGTGATAAATATAACCGTAGGTCGTTCGCTGGAAGGCATTTACTGAAAGGTATGCTTTGGACAATTGCGGACACCAAAAGCTGCGAATACACCCATGGCACATTGCGGCTTGATGCTCGGGCGAATTCCAATACAAAAATTCAGCACAACAGGCTTCAATATCTAGTCAACACGAGAGGAGTTTTCGATGCGCGCGGTGTGCCTCGCAGACCACATGTGGGCAAGCAGGATTTCATCAACCATTTCAAGGTGCTGGAACCAAAGGCAATGGCATCTAAATACAGGAGCTGCAGGCACAAGCTACCAACGAGCTGGTCCAAGATTCTGGGGAAAAATCATGGCCTACTTTGAACGAGGAGTGGACGAACAAAGCTGCAGCGGCATGGGCGTGGCTACACGAATATACTCGGCGTCGGCGCGTTGGTAACCCTGCTAGCTTGGGCGCGGCCCGTTTCACGAGGCTCGTGCCAGCTCTACAAGTCGTCCAGTACGGAGACAATTTTGGGTTGTCCCTTGGCCACCACACGTGGGCCTTCTTGGGCTGGCAGCTGCGCCGTGACGCCGTTGACGACATCACGTATTTCACACTTACCAAGGACCAGGGTCTCGCAAATATTGCGCTGCCGTTGTTCGTTGACTGCTGCGCCCTCCTCAGGCTGTAAGTGTTTGTTTGTTGTTTCGGTTTTCTGGTTACCAGGGTTCGCCTCTGCGGTCTAGGGTGTTCGGGCAATGCTTCTGATGGGGCAGGGCGCATCAGTCGGTGCAGCTGCGGCAATATTTGCGCATCGCCCTGAGGATCCCGTTGCTTGGCTCCATGTCACGGACCCATCCGACTGGAAGGTCGTCTCCACAGTGGCATTCGTGCTGGCCGGCGCTGGAGTGGTCATGAAACAGATCGCAGAACCAGCTTTTCTCATGAGGCACGCGCTGACGACATATGCTAGCACGCTGAGCTTCCAGGGCCTCTTGCAGCGTGCTCGCTTTAACAGCGATGTTGACGTTCCCGAAGGGGCGGCGACTCCGAAGGACGCTTGCAACATCATTGGGAAGTCGCTGGACCCCGACGACCCTGCCAACGTCACGGGTTATATGGTCTACACGTCCTTTACGTCCGACGTAGGTTGCACCTCAGCGTTCGACGACGCGATGGTCGAGATAGCGTTCGAGGACCTCGACGCTGAAGACAAGAACGAATTCCCAGAGGTCGGGAAGGCCATCAAGGAAAGGAAGATTCGGCAGCGATGCGCCGAATACAAATTGCACCAGAAACGGAAACTCGCTGGCTTGGACACTGCAGGCCCAAAGAAAAAGAAAGCGAAGACAAAGGCCAAGGCGAAGGCCAAGCCTGGGCCCATGGCAGGCCACCCTCCTGAGGAGCCGCCGCCTCCACCGCCACCACCACCGCCGCCGCCGCCACCGCCAGGGGCAGTGCCAGCAGGCGCCGCGCCAGCACCTCCAGCGCCCGCGCCAGCGCCAGCGCCACCAGTACCAGGCGCTGCGCCAGCGCCGCCAGCGCCCGAGCTTCCGCTACCGCCGCCAGCGGCAGCCCCCGCGCCGCCAGCAGGAATCCATGGTCATGGGCAACCTGTTATCCCAGGCTTGGTTTTACACTACTGTTGGGCGTGCGCTTTGCGGCCACTTGAATGGTTAATTTCAGCTTCACGCCAGCCCTGGTTTACGCGACGCACCGTCCTGGAAGGTGCGCGTCTGGGATACCGCCGCAAACAAATGGGCAAATCGATCGCCGCTGTTTCGAGTGCTCACACAGACGCCAGAAAGAGACGAGGCGTGGGCGCGCAGGTGGCTACATGATAACAGAACGTGCTGCCGTCCAGGCTGATGCAGACACTTGGGTGGCAGAGTGGCGCAGTGCCTCCTGCCGTCCAGGCTGATGCGGGTTGCTGTATATATTTGGGGTGGCAGAGTGGCACAGTGCCTCCTGCCAGGTTTGGGGCATGGACCTGCACTGACTCAGTACTCGCCTGCGAAAACAAAAACACATCATCATCATCATCATCATCATCGCCATCGTCGCCATCACAATCGGTACCGCCACCGTCCTGATTTTCACCATCTTCATCGTCATCATCGAACCTATTGCCATCCGTAGCCAATGTGGGCTCAAGACGCCATTTGGGGACCGAGCACCCTTCAATCGTGACAGTGCCCTGCCAACCGCTACAACGCGTTCCATGGCGTTGGCTCCAGTAACTCCTCCCAGGACAGTGACGGCTTACCAGTACTTCAACGAGGACGTCACACACGCATTTCAGAAGGGGGTCCTATACCTGGATGAACAAACTGGTCTTGTACAGTGGCAGTGTGGCAGCAATATCACGTGTTGGCACGGGTCGTGGAATTTCGGGGGTGGTACTTTCAGTTTATATTTCGACAGCCGTGCTGGTCTTCGCCCCGACAAGAACAACATCATCTTGAAGTCGTCGTTCTTGTTCGAGGCTGGAGGTGATGGTGGTGGAACCCCTTGTACCTATGAGGGTTTCGACTACCGCGGGCGTAAGATCTTTATTACGCCAATGCTAAAATTTTCCCTCGACGCCCAAACGGGCTTCTGGAAGCGCACGGCTGAGTGGTCTCAGGAATCGCAGGCCGGGTTCCATATCCCGTAGCTCGGAATCGAACTAGGCTCGCTCGTCGCCGCCTGTATTCGAGGCGCCCGTAGGACCCCATCTCGGTGGGCAAGAATCACCATCATGGTGGCAGAGTGGCACAGTGCCTCCTGCCAGGCTTTGGGCATGGACCTGCACTGACTCAGTACTCGCCTGCGAAAACAAAAGCACACCATCATCATCATCATCACCATCATCATTATCATCGTCGCCATCACAATCGGCACCGCCATCATCCTGATTTTCACCCTCTTCATCGTCATCATCGAATCTATTGCCATCACCATCATGATCCTCACCATCGCCACATCCCATCATCAACGTCATCAACTTCACCAGCTCCCACCTGCATCATCACCATCATCGTCGTCGCCTTCGCCATCGGTACCACCGTCCACATCATCATCCCCATCAAAGCCCACGTGCAATCTATCAAAATCCAATGGGTATCAAGCAAAAACCAAGTGGTACCCAACAGAATACAGACACACACATCCCCGAAACCCTATGGATGTATAACCCTATGATCTAGACTCCCGCATAATGATCATGAGAACAAGGGAAGGACCGATCCCACCACTCGGGTCACCGCTCGGGCCTTGGCGATCAAGGCGTCGAGCTCCTCAAGGTCCCTTGGGCTATCCCGAGCATGCAAAGTTAAAGTTTGCTTAGCACACCGGTCAGCAATAAAGTTGGCTCGACCGATTCGCCTTTCAGCATCAGGCAACTGGTCAATGTCTTCCAACCGTCTGTGGGCAGGCGTGTGATGGGACTCACCAACATAACCTGCACCTTGAAGCTCATAAAAGCCACGCCTCCGACCAGCGTGCTTCGACCTGCTGGAAAGGACCTGGGACTTAGGACCTAGGAGGAGGAGGAGGAGGAGGAGGAGGAGGAGGAGGAGGAGGAGGAACTGGAGGATGAAGAGGAGAAGAAGGAGGAGAAACAAGAGGGGGAGGAGGAGGAAAAAACGAACAGAGGAGCCATACACCTATTTAAGTGCTTATCAGAGTCTCCTTGGATGTCTTTCGGAGCGTCTGGAGGGCATTTTGGCGGGCCCAGGGCTGTCGTTGAGCATCTTTGGCGCCTCGAGGATCCTCTTGAGGCCGTTTGGGGGTCTCTTGGGAGCTTCTTGGAAGCCTCTCGGACGCCTCTTGGGGCCGTCTGGGCGCTTCTTGGGGCGCTCTTGGGAACTGTACGCAGGGCCGTTATTGGGCCATCTTGGAAGACATCGATCAGAAAGGTAAGGTTCGCAATTAGCTTTGCCCCATCGGGAGCCCCAAACATGCCATCTTAGGACGCTCTTGGAGCTCTCTTTGGCGCTCTTGGGGCCGTCTTGGGACCCTCTTGGACCTCTGTTGGGGCCCTCTTGGGCCATCTGGGAGCCATCTTGAGGCCTCGGATGGCCATCGGAAGCGAAAAGACGATTGGACGGATTTTGGCTTCTTGAGGGCCTCCTTGGAAGTCTCGGATGCTTCTCGGGGCCGCCTTGGAACGTTGTCGGGGCCTCGTGGAGCATCTTGGAAGCCATCTTGAATTATCTTCGGCCATATTGCCATTTTGGAGGTCATCTTGGGCTCGCTTAGGCGCTGTTGGAGCCGTCTTGGGCCATCTTGGACGCTCCAACTCCCCGCGAGTCCCCCCGTCTAGGTCCAGGGGAGGGGGTAGGGGGAGGGGTCAAGACCCCCTCCCCGCCCGCAAGCCGTCGCGCCCGACTCTGGCCCGAGCCTGAGCATATTTAGCAGTCGTCTTTGGATGGGCAGCTACCGGGGGCCAATTCGCCGCCGCCGCCGCCGCCGCCTCCTCCGCCGCCGCCGCCGCCGCCTCCGCCGCCGCCGCCGCCGCCGCCGCCTGCCCGCCGCCGCCGCCGCAGCCGCCGCCGCCGCGCCGCCGCCGCCCGCCGCCGCCGCCGCCGCCGCCGCCGCCGCCGCCGCCGCCCCCGCCGCCGCCGCCGCCGCAGCCGCCGCAGCCGCCGCAGCCGCCGCCACCCCCGCCGCAGCCGCCGCAGCCGCCAAGGGTACTCTGTATTGTTTTTTTGACAGGGATGATGGGGGGGCGCATCGGGTTGGCTGCGCATGTTCCGAATTTGGAGGCAGAGTGCGTTTTGTATTGTTTTTTTTACAAGGGATTGTGGGGGGGGGTGTCATGGACCCTGGTTGGCCCCCAGTCGCCTGGGGGAGGGGGTGTTTATTAATAGAGAACAGTGATCAAGACACCCTCCTAGATAGCAAGCCGTCTAGCTCACCCCCGCCCACCCTTCCAACACAGAAGTAACACCCAGGTCTGATCATGTTCAGCGGTCGTCTTTGGATGGACAGTTATTGGGAACCAAACCAAAATCGACCACATGTGCGCGACGCTGGGGCGAGGTGCGCCACGCGTGCCAGGCGCGCCACGCGCGCCAGGCACCCCTGGGGCCCGAGCGTGCCAGGCACGCTTGGTGCGCCAGATGCGCCACGTGTTCCGCGTGCGCCAGGTGTGCCGCAAACTCCAGCAGCGCCAGGTGCACCACGTTCGGGGCACGTGCAGAGTGTGTCAGGTGCGCCTGCGTGACAGCACACATCGGGAAACATGTCGACCCCCACCACCCTTGTCGAAAACCCATGCCCATCATTGTGTCTGGTGGGCCTGCGCACAGCTGGCCATACGCCACCACCCCCGCCGTCTCTTGAAAAAAACATGTGACAGTGATCGCGGGTGGCCGCGCATGATCCACATCTAGCCGCGAGGTGTAGTTTGTATTCTTTGTTGTTTGGTCAGAGATGGCAGCCCTGCGCGCAACAGGCAACCTGCTGATCCCCCCCGTCGCCCGTCAAAAACAAGACAAAGTGCTCGCGGGCCTCACGAAGATGACCCCCAAGGTGTACTGTGTATGGCTTTTTGACAGGGATGGTGGGGGGCGGCCGCATCGGGTTGGCCGCGCATGCTCAAAATGTGGAGGTAGAGTGCGTGTTGTATTTTGGTTTGGACAGGGATGGTGGGGGGATCATCATGGGGTCCTCATTGTTCCTTGTTGACTGCCTGTCGCCTGCAGGAGGGGGTGTATTCAAATAGGGAACAGTGATGAACTCTTCCCCGAAGTGGAAGAAGGGGGTTGGAAGAGAAAGCTCTCTAGACCACCTACGCCCAGAGGGCTGGTGGGATTCCTTTCCATGTGCGGGTTTCCTTGCTCCTCGTCGCGTCGTTGCTCGCTCCCGTGTTCGCGGCGTTCATAGAGGTCAGGGGGCGGCATGCAGGATATAAGATTTTGTCTTCGTTCTGCTCCCCTTGTCCTTCAGTCACTCATCTTACGAGAGTTCCCGAGGCAGCGTATCCATTCTTGGAGCCCGGCAGCCACTGGTTTGCAGAGCCCCCAGGGCAGGCCCTGAAGTTCAGGACCCGCTTCCCTCGGGACTCCCGTCACGCCAAGTTGTTCTCTTGGGCTCGAGGCGCGAGGGGCCAGGATCGAGGATTTCCAGCATCGAGTCGGCTTGCGATTTCAGGATCGAGGTTCGCGGATCGAGGAGCGAGGCTCCAGGACTCCCCAGCTCGAGGCTCGAGGCTCCACCACATCTCGTCCGCCTTGGTTGGCTCCTGGTGCCCCACGCCGCCGGGCCTCCGGCCGCGGGGGCCGCGGGGCTCCGATGCCCCGCGCGAGCCGGGGGCTTCCGAGCCCGGGCCTGGCCGGGCTGTGGCCTCGCCTCGCGCCTCTCTCCTCTGCGGCCCGGCCCGGGCGGCGTCCTGCACTCGTCTCAGAGAGGGGCCGTTTGAGGCACTGCTGGGTGTCCTCCTGCAAGGGCTCCCACGAGGGCGCGAAGTGCTTCGCGCTTCGCGGTCCTCGTTCCTTCTCCCCCCCCCTCCTCGTCCTCCTTGTCTCCCTTTTGGGGGGCGGCGCGAGAGCGCGAGGTTATTCGCGCCTCGTGCCTCGCGCAGCGCGAAGCGCGAATTTGGGAGCCCTAGTTTTTGGGGGGGTCCTCGTTGCGACGGCTGGGCGCAGCGTGGGGAGGGCTCTGGGGGCAGAGTTTGAACTCCCAGTGTCTCGAGCCGCCCTGCTCCGATCATCTCGTCTGGAACACGGCTCCCTCGGAAGAGAGTCTCGGGCAGGCCCGGGAGGAGGGCAGACCGCCCCGGAGCGCGCTGGGAGGGCCCACGGCACCCGATACATTCTCGAGGCTCGCCAGCTCTCAGAGGTGCGCTCGCCTCCTCCTCCTCCTCCTCCTCCTCCTCCAAAAAAAGAGATTATATTCTAAGTCCGAGCCTGTATTCGTCCCAGATGTCCTGTGCGGTCAGGCCGGAATGCAGCGCGGTGTGCGTTGGGCCTGCCAGCCTTGCCCGCTGCCATCATTCCGGTGTGCGGAGCGCGTGCACGAAGTCCCGCGTTGCATCGCGACGCAGGCTAACGACTGCGACGGAGACTGCGACGACAGAGGCGACGGCGGGGGCGGCGACATCGGCGACAGCGGCGGCGATGGCGTCGGCGGCGGCGGCGACGACTGCGACCTCGGCGGCGGCGGCGACGGCGGCGGCGGCGGCTGCGACAGCGGCGACCTCGGCGGCAGCGTGCGACAGCGGTGTCGGCGGCGACGTCGGCGGCGGCGGTGGCGGTGATGGCGTCCCACGGCCCGAACCGCGAGTTGCAGCGCGCCGCAGGCCAGGATTAACGAGGCGATAGAGCTGAACCACCGGCAGCGAATGGTGCGCCGCGCCCACCTCGCCATGGAGAAATCGGGTCCTGGAGGAAACCAGCCAGTGGCAGAGGCTTGGGAGGAATGCCTTAGCGTCGTCAGTGGTTTTGACACATGTATGAGTTTTCGTTGTTTGTTGCCGAGAGGGGCGCTTCCCCTTAGTTGCACCTGGGCAGGAAAAGCTCAACTTGCACCTGGGAAGCTTGTCGGAGCACTTCGACATTCCGAAGGTCACCATGCAATGCAGCCACCCACGTTGTCCTGCGCATGGGCTGTGCTGTTGGAGACATTTCCATTCTCGTGGCCTGACGAACATAGTGCACGTTGGCGCAGGTTGACGCGTGATGCGACTTCATGCAGCATGCCATGTTACGTGTAAGTTCTGGCAGCAGCGCCCATCCTGGAAGCGATTTGTCCACGGGTGCCCAGGTAGCGCACCAAAGTCTCAAGCCTACAGCCATATCCGCGCAGCATATCCCATCTTGCCAGTGTGATGGCGAGGGGGTTACGCGAAGGTGTTCTATTAGCACAAAGATGACGACGACTATGAATACCACGACGATGACTACCGTGACAACCATTACTATTGCTACGACTGCGCTCCGACACGAACAAACGATTGATGCTATACTTCACTAGCACAATGATGAATAGCGACTACCATCACGACGACCAACCCAACACTTTCTCCCACTGCCGCCACCACCACTGCTGCTACTGCTGCCACTGCTCTACTGCTTCTGCGACCGAGCCCTCTTCCTGCTGCTAACAACGCGAGAGTGAGAGTGAGCTGTGAGAGGAGAGCTGTCAGAAGACTGACAATGTTAGAGTGATATGTGAGAGGAGAGCTGTGAGAAGACTGACAGTGCGAGAAGACGCGCGAGAGAAGACACAGTGCACGGAGCCAAGGCTCCGCCGCGGCCCCGGCTCCGGGACGGCCTCCTGGCCAATGTACCCGCCAGTCCAGCCCAGTCCAAGCTCTCCTCCTCCTCCTCCTCCTCCTCCTCCTCCTCCTCCTCCTACTCCTCCTCCTCCTCTTATCTCCTCCTCCACCTCCTCGTCCTCTTCCTCCTCCTCCTCCTCCGCATCCGAGCTCAGACCAAGAGGCCGAACTCCCCGCTCTCCCCGCTCTCCCCTGCGGTCAAGATCGGAGAGCGGAGTCGGACGGTGAGCACGACGTCCCTCGCGGGGCCCTGCTGGGCAGACCTGCGCGCTGACCAGGCTTGCACGCTGACCAGGACGTCGGCAAGTATCATCGCTCCAATGTGTGTGCCGCACCTCCTCCCCGTTCCCCGGAGGTCGGGCCAGGCCGCGAGACTTTCGCGCGCTCCAGCGCCAGGATCCTACCAGAGAAGCAGAGACCATCGAGGCTCCCAAGTAGGGTCCGAGCAGATGGTGTCGAAGGATTGCGCCGCATCGCCGATGCGGCTCGATACGGATCCCGATTTTCTCAGCGCGGACGTCGCCGGTCGCCGAGGCGCTCCAGTATGCCACCGCCCAGGGCGCCCCCCCCTCCTCCCCCGAGGGGTTCTCGGTGGCGGCGTTCCATGTCTCTCTTCCGAGACGAAGAACCGCCGTGAAGGCAGCATGACTTGTGGGAGACGGGTGTTGGAGGCTTTTGGCCGATTTCGGGCTCCCAGGGGCAGTTCCGAAACCCAAGACAGTCAAGAATCGGCGCAGGGTGAAGAACTGGCGGGGAAGCCCCTGGGATCTAGGATCCATTTCAATCAGGACCAGGTTTCGTCCATCCAAGGCGGAGGGAAAGAAGGGGGAGTAGGGGGACGAGAAAGGAGGAGGAGGGAAGATGGGAAAGCGACATGAGGAGGACCAGAGTAAATTCGAGTAGGCATTAGCGATGCTGCAGCAAACCCTCCCGTCCCAAGTTCCACGCTTATAAGATATCAGGAAAGGATGAGAGGGTCGGGGGCGCAGAAAGAGCCGAGGACGAAGAGAAGGGGTGAGAAGGAGGCACCACATGAAGTATTTTGGTGCAAACCTTGGAGGCATCACACGGGGGCAACACATGGAGGCGGCACTTGGATGCAAGACATGAGGGACACGGGGTGCCCCCCCCCACACCCCCCTCATTCTTATGTGAAATCTACGGGGGCTACGTAATGACTGGGGAAGGCCTAGCGGCCGGCGCCGCCGACCCCGAAGGGGGACGGCGACGACGGCGGCGGCGGCGACGACGACGACGCTGACGCTCTGGATCATTTCTTGGGGCTCTCTCGGGAGCCTCTTGGGCTCTGTTGGGGCTGGGGCCGGGGCCGGGGCTGGGGCCGCGGCTGGGGACAGGGCCAGGGCCGAGGCACCAGGTGTGGCCGGGGCTGGGGCCAAGGCCGGAGGCCAGGGCTGGGGCCGGGGCGCCGGGGCCGGGACCCAGCTTGCGGCCCTCTGGGCTGGGCCGTGTTTGGGTCTGGGGCCAGGGCTGACCGATGAAAAGCTTCCAACATCATGACATCCAGATATGTATATAAGTGGAAGTTTGTGAAAGTAGGTACCGAGAATGTTAAAACCATCCGTCTTAGATTTGTCCTCCGCGGATTCATGGACACGGAGGCTTTCGATGTAGAAACCTTCTCGGGAGCTGCCCGCCGACAGTCCCAGAGGCTTCTGGCAAGTGAGGCTGCATGTCATCCAGAATGGATCTTAGCATCTATGGACATCGACAAAGCGTTCCCCAAAGGACTGACATGTGAGGAACTTGTTCATGCCACCGGCGAGATTAGGCTTCTCTTCTTATGATGAAAGCCGACACTGCCTCAGGTACCTCAAGCCAGGAACTGGTACAATGGACGCCCCAAGAGCGTCCTCCCTCGAGCTTCGTGCGACTACTCGAGCTATAGGCCTTACACCGACAAGCTACGATCCTGAATTTGAATTCAGTCAGGATCTGTTAACAGCAAAACATGTCGACGACGTCAATATGACAGGCCTAGAGAAAAACGTAGACGACTATGTACAACGTGTCGAAAAGGTGTTTGGCAAATGTAAGCTCAACAAACATTAGTATACCAAGTGTGCCGTTCGCTACACGAAGAATGAACAAGGGGATGTGATCATGGACCAGGACGAGTATAGTAAACAACTACGCCCCATCACACATCCTGAGCTTACGGGAGCAGCGGCAGACGCCAAGGCTACCAAACTCATCACCGACATGTTCGTTAGCCTGCGAGGAGCTCTCGCCTATGCCCCTCTTACTCAAGTCTGGCCCATGGTGCATGTGGTATCTCTCCAGAAGATCCAAGAGCCCACCAACTTACAAATCAGACGACTGAATGCTGTGAAGCGCAAGCTGATCAGCAGTCCGGAACGCATCACCTTCCCTCGGATGAAACCGACGAATGAAGTAGACATACACAGTGATTCGGGGTATCGGAAATTCACCGGGGAGGAGGACGATGAAACCAAGGGCTACGGTATTCGTGGGGCTAACGTACTACGGCGAGGAAACTCGCCCCAAGGCAAATCCGTCGTTCACCTTTGCGACGGACGATGCAGGTCACACCGATTGCAGGTGAGGTCCAGCCATGCCGCTGAGGCACTTGCAGCTGCACATAATCTTGATGAACGCTATCCCACGCTCGTCACTCTCCACGAGCTCAAGGCTGGAGCGCTTACCCCACGGCAACTACGAGATATGCGTGAAGTTGGAGGCCTAGCTATCAAAGTATCCCTTACTATAAACGCTGAGTCTGTATACACATCGTTATCCAGCAAAAACCTTAAGATACCGACGGAACGTACTTTGCTGGGACATATCAGCTGGATACGTGAGCTCATGGATATAGGTATAGTGCATAACGTCAGTGGTGTGACACTAGAGACATGACCGCAGACGGGCATACAAAGCGGAGTCTCGGTCGGGAGCTGCTTTTGGAAGTGATGTCAGGCATTCAGTCTTTTAAGTACGACGTGAAGCAGTTAGTTCCCTTTCGGGGCCCCGAGGACAAAACCAAACCTAAGTCGAATCAATTTTAGTCTGTCCTTGTTGCCCCTGCGGTCCAGTTTGCCAGCACGGGCGCCTAATGCGGAGGCGCCCTCTTTCCTGCTCGGAAGGGAGCCATACTTTTCACGCTTGGCAACGAGCCTGTTCAGGTTGGTTCAGGCTCTTTGCCTTAGTACCCTTTTGCCCGGAGGGGAATAGCCTGTTTGGCTTACCTCTAGCCGGGCCGATAGCCCTTGTCTATCCGAGGGGCTATCCTGTGCGTGCGTGGAAAAGTTTTGCGTGGAAGCTCGCCGGCGAATAATCTCGCCCTTCAGTCTGGTGGTTGACCAGACTGCGTGTGCTGTTTCCCTTGCAAACAGTTGCGCGCGCCTGTCGAGAGCCTAACGACTGCGCGGCTTGACTCTCTTCCGTCTCCTCCCCTCCCGATTTTAAGGGTAGCTCTTTGGGAGATGCTATAGGTAATCGGGAGTATAGCCTGCGCGTCGCTGCCTTATGGCTCAAGGCACGCGCGCCCTATTTGCCCGGATACCTGACTTGGTTATCCAGCTATGTGCTGGAAAGATCATTACATCGATCTTTTCCTATCTTACTCATCCACACCCCATATCGTATTCCTTCGACATGGAATTGGATGCAATATGACTTACCTGAGTCATTTCAGACTCGCGACACTAAGGTTATATTCACACAAGAAACGGCCCGCCCTCAATCCGTGTAAGTGTGTGGTACTCAAGCTTCAGCGACGTAAGCGGTGAAGTGGGCTCACATGTAACGCCCAGCCCGCCTTACCGACACGATTGGTGGTACTGCGAGGATGAATTTGTCCCAACCACCATAAAGTGTGTCCTCGTTTTGAAGAGACAGCGCCCCGCGTTCCTCTCCTCCTCCTCCTCCTCCTCCTCCTCCTCCTCCTCCTCCTTTCCTCCGCCCCCTCCGCCCTCCTCCCCTCCCTGCCTCTGCCCTCCGCATGTCCTCCATAGGGTGCTCCACCGAAGGCCTCAGTGGCAGGGTCCGCATGCAGTTCCACCCCCATTTCGGCGCACCCCTCACACGGTCCGTGACCCCAGAGGGTGCTCCGCCGAAGGCCCCAGTGGCAGTGTCCGCATGCAGTTCCACCTCCATTCCGGTGCAGCCCTCACACGCTTCGTGGCCCCATAGGGTGCTCCACCGAAGGCCCCAGTGGCAGGGTGGGTCAGCATGCAGTTCCACATCCATTTCGGTGCACCCGTGGCCCCATAAGGCTCTCTACCGAAGGCACCAATGGCAGGGTCCGCATGCGGTTCCACCTCCATTTATTTCGGCGCACACACCTCACGCGCTTCGTGGCCCCATGGTGTGCTAAACCGAAAGCCCCAGTGACAGGGTCCGCATGCAGCTCGACCATCATTTCGGCGCACCCCTCACACGTTTCGTGGCCCCATAGGGTGCTAAACCGAAGGCCCCAGAGGCAGAGTCCACATGCACTTCCACTTCCATTTCAGCGCACCCCTTACGCGCTCCGTGGCCCCATTGTGTGCTAAACCGAAGGCCCCAGTGGCAGGGTCCGCATGCACTTCCACCCCCATTTCGGCGCACCCCTCGCACGCTTCGTGGCCCCATAGGGTGCTAAACCGAAGGCCCCAGAGGCAGGGTCCGCATGCTTCCACCTCCATTTCGGCGCACCCTTCACATGTTTCGTGGCCCCATAGGGTGCTCCACCGAAGACCCCAGAGGCAGGGCCCGCATGCACTTCCACCCCCATTTCGGCGCACCCTTCACACGTTTCGTGGCCCCATAGGGCGGTCCGCATGCAGTTCCACCCCCATTTCGGCGCACTTCTCACACGTTTCGTGGCCCCATAGCGTGCTCCACCGAAGGCCCCAGTGAACGGTCCGCATGCAGTTCCACCTCCATTCCGGTGCAGCCGTCACACGTTTCGTGGCCCCACAGGGCGTTTCGCCGACGGCCCCAGTGGCAGGGTCTGCATACAGTTGCACTTCCATTTCGGCGCACCCCTCACACATTTCGTGGCCCCATAGGGTGCTACACCGAAGGCCCCAGTGGCAGCGCCCGCGTGCCGCCGCCATCACACTTTATAACACCCATCACAAGTTTCGCCCCCCCACGAAGAGCTCAACCGAAGACGACACTCACGACTGCAGCCCTCACAACTGCATTTGGTTGGGTCCTTCGCTGGGCCAATTTCCAAGCCATCCTGTGGTGTTGGGTCCTCGTTTTGAAGAGAGAACGCCCGGCGTCCTCACTTCCGCTGCCTCCATTTTGGCGCACCCCTCACACGCTTCGTGGCCCCATAGGGTGCTCCGCCGAGGGCTCCCAATTGCAGGGCTGCATGCAGTTCCACTTCCATTTCGGCGTTCCCCCTCGCGCTTTTCGTGGCCCCATAGGGTGCTCCACCGAAGGCCCCAGTGGCAGGGTCCGCATGCAGTTCCATCTCCATTTCGGAGCACCCCTCACACGTTCCGTGGCCCCATGGCGTGCTCCACCCAAGGCCCCAGTGGCAGTGTCCGCATGCAGTTCCAACCTCCATTCCGGTGAAGCCCTCACACGTTTCGTGGCCCCATAGGGTGCTCCACCGAAGGCCCCAGTGGCAGGGTCAGCATGCAGTTCCACTTCCATTTCGGCGCACCCCTCGCACCTTTCGTTTCAATAGGGTGCTCCACCGAAGGCCCCAGTGGTAGGGTACACTTTCCGTGGCCCCATAGGGTGCTCCACCGAAGGCCCCAGTGGCAGGGTCCGCATGCATTTGCACCTCCGTTTCGGCGCACCCCTCACACGTTCCGTGGCCCCATGGTGTGCTCCACCGAAGGCCCCAGTGACAGGGGCATACAGTTCCACCCCCATTCCAGCGCATCTCTCATACGTTCCGTGGCCCCATAGGGCTCTCAACCCAAGGCCCCGTGGCAAGGTCCGCATGGAGTTCCACCCCCACTTCGACGCACCCCTCACGTTTCGTGGCCACAGTCGGGTCCACCGAAGGCCCCAGTAGTAGGGTCCGCATGCAGTTCCGCCTCCATTTCGGCGCACCCCTCGCACGTGCGGTGGCCCTGTAAGGTGCTCCACCACAGGCTCCAGTGACAGCGCTCGCACGCGGTCCGCACCCCTCACACGCTTCGTGGCCTCACATGGGGCTCCACCGACGGCTCCGATGGCAGCATCCGCATGGCGTATCCGTGCCAATTTTGGCACACCCGTCACACGCGTCGTGGCCCCAGAGAGAGGTTCACCGAGAAGGATACAAACAGTTGCGTTATTCACAATTGCACATGGTTGGGTCCTTCGCCACGGTAGAATTATCAGAGGGACAGGGCCCGAACGTTTTAGCTTGTTCCTCGTGCGCTGCGTGGCTGAATGAGGGCCTCGCCTCCGGGGGGCCACACATCGGGGCGACATCAGGGGGCAACGCGTGGGGGCGACGCGTGGGGGCAGCGCCTTCTGGTTGGAAGTGCCGTCGCTCGGGGTCGCAAGTGGTCCGAGAACCCCAGGCGAAAGGCCCGACCCGCCCTGCCGATACGTCTTGTGGGGCCAGGAGGGGGCCTTCGCACGGAGGAAGAGTGGAGGTGGTGATGGCAGAGGGAGGGGAGGATGAAGATGATGAGCACTGGATCCTGTAGCAGAGCAGAGCGTTCAAAAGTCGGAAGAGGAGAAGGGGGGAAAATCAGGAGGAGAAGGAGGATGAGGGGTGGGAGGGAGAAGGAAGAGGAAGAGGAGGAGGAGGAGGACGAAGGGGAGGAGTGAGAAAAGGGAGGAGGAGGAGAAGCCCGAGAGGAGGAGGAGAGGGAGGGGGTCGAGGAGGAGGAGGAGGAGGAAACATGTTATAGGTTAATGTTGGCGATGGTGGGAATTACGTATGGTCGATTTGACGCGGATGTTGATGCTGGTGATGGTAACGGTGATGGTGACGGTTATGTTGGTGATGTTGATGCTGATCTTGAGGATGTTCATGCAGTTGCTGATGATGTTGCTGATGCTGATTATGATGGTGATGAATGATGGTGATGCTGATAATCAACATGGTCATGACCACGAGCATGATGGTGATGACGCGGATTACGATCAATAGTGGTCGAGGTGATTATGATGTTGATGACTATGACGATGACGCAGATTATGATGGCGATGGCGGTGATGACGCTGATGCTGGTTATGGTGGTGGTGATGATCGGAATGGTGATGGTCATTGCGCTCTTGTTGCTGATGCTGATGCTGACGATGACGATGTTGCTGCTGCTGATAATGATGCTGATCATGATGATGCTGCTGATGATGGATGGTAATGATGATTATGACGATGATGATGCTGCTGCTGATGATGATGTTTATGATGCTGCGGATGATGATGTTGTTGATGTTGATGTTGATGATGCTGATGCTGATGGTGACCATGATGCTGTCGCTGTTGCTGGATATGGCGATGATGATGCTAATGCTGATGATGCTGATGTGGATGACGACGATCCTGATGCTGCAGATGACGATGATGATGATTATGATGATGATGATGATGATGATGATGATGATGATGATGATGACGATGACGATGACGATGACGATGACGATGATGAGGATGAGGATGAGGATGAGGATGAGGGTGAGGATGAGGATGATGATGACGATGACGATGACGATAACGGTGATGATGAGGATGAGGATGAGGATGAGGATGAGGATGAGGATGAGGCTGATGATAATGATTATACTGCTGCTGATGATGCTGCTGATGCTGCTGCTGATGATGATCATGTGATGATGATGCTGCTGCTGATGATGATGATGCGGATGCTGCTGCTGGCGGTGATGATGCTGATGCTGCTGCTGCTGCTGATGATACGGACGATGTGGATGATGCTGCAGATGGTGGTGGTGGTGGTGGTGGTTGTGATGATGCTTGTGGTGATGATGCTGACGATTGTCACCAACATAGTGATGATAACACATGTGGGAGGGGAAGGAGTAGGAGGATGAGGAGCAGGAGGAGAAGGAGGAGGATAAGGAGGAGGAGGAGGAGGAGGAAGAAGAGGAGGACGAGGAGAAGCAGGGAGTCCTCCTCTTTGACGCTGCGGGCGAATTCTCGCCCCCATACAGGAAAAGGCCATGCCAGGAAACACCCTGCTTGCCTCCAGGGTGCCCTGAGTTTCGTGGGCTTCGGTGGTCTACGATGGAAAACGTGACGTAGAAATCCATGGACATCCTGGGGTCTCAGGGCCGTGGAAGGTTTCTCATGGTCCAGCTCCTACTGCAGCGTGCAAAAGAAAGTCCACCTCCTCCACCCTGCCGCCTCCCCGCCCCCCCCGCCTAGGTCGGTCCAGGCTGAGAGTTCGCACGCGCTGCGGCCAGGCGCGTCGGCGCGGCGCGACCCGCCCTGGGAGCCGGCGCTCGGGCGCAGCACTTGGGGCGCGGGGGGGGCCGCTGCTGCCGCGAGGGTTCGGCTGAGAGGGAAAGAAACACACAGACACAATTAATCGTCGATTCCCCAAGAAACATGGGAAAATATGGGAAGTGGGGGTGAAGACAAAAACCCAGAAAATATTGGGAAATATGCAGGATCCGGTTATTTCTGTGTATGTATTTGTGTGTCCCAGGGCCCCTTCGGTACACGAAGGAAGGGTCAAGCCCTTTCGGCCGGGTGAGCACCGAGCCCATGTGGGCCCGACGGTCGACTGCCGCGAGGGAGGAGGGAGGAGGACAGAGCAGCAGGAGGGAGGAGGGGGGAGGGAGGAGGGGGGGGGGATGATTCAGGGGGGAGGGATGATATGGGATGATGCAGGAGTGGGGTCCGAGGCAGGGATTTGTCCACTGCCACCGCCTGGGGGATCGATCCTCGAGTACCTCGGCGGGCGGCGGACGTGGCTCTATTCGGGCCCCCCTGTGGCCAAGACATGTCCATGCCCACCGCGCCCAGGGATCCCAGGACGTGGATTCCCCAGGGAGCAGATATGGATCAAATCCCCACCTCGCAGGAGAGGGAGGGGAGACAGATATCGGAGGAGGAGGGGGCGGAACAGGAGACCGGAGGAGAATTGGGGACGAGGGGGAGGGGGAAGGAGAGGATGGAGGATGAGGGCGATCGGAGGAGGGTAGATAGAAGTAGGGTTAAGAGGAGGAGGAGGAGGAGGAGGAGGAGGAGGGAGGAGGAGGAGGGAGGAGGAGGAGGAGGGAGGAGGAGGATACAGTGGGATGGGCAGGACGATAACAAGGATGATACAGGAGCAGGACCAGGATTGAGAGGGAGGGGGGAGAGGAGATAGGATGGGGATGGGGGGAGAAGGAGGAGTAGGAGTAGGGGGAGGAAGTGGACTGGTGGAGTAGGTGGAGCTTGTCGTTTGGCTGCGGCTGTTTCGGTGGGGAGTGGGGGGGGAGTTGGGAAAGGGTTGGGGAAGGGATTGGTAGGCGCTTCCATGATCATGTGGGCATGTGTGTGGAGGGTGTTGGCTTCTGCTCCTATCCCAGCTTCGCGGCAGCTTGCTCCAGACAATGCGTTGGACTCTCCTCGTGCCCTGTCCATTTTACACGTCCGCTTGGAGCTTGCTTCAGCTTGATCGGGTTGGTCGCTCTCTCTGATTCCGCTTGCATTGGTCATCCGAGCGTGATATAAGCTTCCAGAGGTGCGAGTTTCCCTAGCTGATAGTTAGCAGGACCTAGCTGATGTAACACTTCAATGACTCAATGAACGTGACTGCTTGGACGGGTACTCACTAGGCCGCCGACGCCAGATAATGTGGGAGGCGATGGTCTGTTGGGCATGGTGAGGGGTCGGCTGTTGAGGGCGAGGAGTAAGTGGCTGCTCTTGGGGTGGGGATGAAGGCTGGAAGCGCGGGAAGGGAGCAGGAGAAGCAAGGGCGTTTGGCTGCCCAGTGTTCAAGTTTACCAAGTACATGAAAAAAACTCACAGCATGTCATGTTTCCGAATGGGGCGGGCGACGGTATTCGAGCCCTCCGAACACCGTAACGCATGGATGCAGGATGATCGGTGGTTCAAAGATGGGGTCCTGAGGGATGGAGTCCTAAGGACGAGGTGGCTCAAACAGTGTAAGTCCACTCGTGGATCCCTCCATATCCTCAGATCCCCATGGCTCAGGACCCAATATTTGGACCATCGAGATGAGGAGGAGCAGGATGAGAGGTGGTTGTATGGTGTAGTTGGAGGGCTACGGATTCGGAGCAGGGGGCAGAGAGCCGCTCCCCGAGCGGTGGTGCCTCTGGATCCGAGGCGGGGATTTGTCCACTACCACCGCCGGGGGGATCGGCCTTCGAGTACCTCGGCAGGTAGTGGACATGGATTCATGCAAGGCCCCTGGGGCTAACATATTTCTATATTCACCGCCCGGGGGGGGAGGGGCAGGGCGTTGGTTCCACAGGCGGTGGATATGTACATATCCCCGCCCTGCATCTGGCTCTCTGAGTGGCGATTGCCAGTGCCAACTGCATGTCCGTGCGACTGTGCGGCATAGGCTCCGCCGCAGCGGATGAAAGAGCGCGCCGCGTCCAGCGGATGCCGAGGAGTGTTGGGTTGGGAGGAATGGGGGAGGACGTCGATGAGGCGGAGGTTGCGACGGAGTGCAGTCAAAGCGATGCATGCAATACGGACAACGTTGGGCTCAGGAGGGGCTCTGCTTTTCAGACCGCTCCTTCGATTTGCTTCGGGCAACTTCTTCGTGGCCGAGGTTCTCCGCGGCCAGACAAGCATTTGTTATTATGGTGCAGCGTTCCATTTGGTAGTACAATGACAGCAGGAGTTATAGGAGCTGGAGGGGGGGCCCACGTGAGGTGGCGGACATGAGGAGGTGGAACAGGAGGAGGAGGAGGTGCGCGATTCCAGGAGGAGGAGGAGGAGGAGGAGGAGGAGGAGGAGGAGGAGGAGAGGAGGAGGAGGAGGAGGAGGAGGAGGAGGAGGAGGAGGAGGAGGAGGAGGAGGAGGAGAGGAGTCCCCAATCACTCAGGGTCGATGGCACGCTCGGCTGCCAGCTGGCGGGCCCGCTCCGTGGCCAGCCGCTGCGCCTCGCGGCCAAGCTCCTCAGCTTGACCGCGCGTGCTAAACCCAAAAGCTAGGAAGGCATCCAGCAATGCCATCCTTGGGCACGACGAGCCCCAACGAACAGGAGGGCCAAGCCGAGGCTCGGCCGTGCGGACAACATGGACCCTTGCGGCACCTTCCAATGCGAAATTGTTGGCCCAGGACGCCCGTACAGCCTCCGACGGGCTGCATGCCTCGCCGATGGCCGCATCCCAGGTCCAGTGGTTGCATACCACGGCTGACGCGGAGGAGGAGGAGGAGGAGGAGGAGGAGGAGGAGGACTGCTCTTAGCCTCGGGCCCAGGCATTTTGTCGGAGCAGGTCCGAGTCAGAGGTGCGCCTTGTGCGCCTCGCTTTCTTCCTTACTGTACCCCACTTTTCTGCTGCACAGTTCCCCCTCCAGCCAACCCCGCTTGGCATCGGAGGGAACGCGCATTGCGCGCAGCGGATCGGACCCTCTTGCGTGTTGTGGCGGCCGCCCATCGACTTCGGCTTCACCACGCGACGCCGAGAAGTGACACGCTGCCCACCTGCATGGGCAAGCACGGCAAGGCCAAGGGCGGCGCCGCCAAAGGCAAGAAGGGCAAGGGGCAGGGAAATAACCAGGGTGGAGGCAAACCGTCCAGCAGTACTACGGCCGGGGCAGTGAACTACAGCTGGAACTGCGGAGTTTGTCAAGCCCAGGTTTCGCTGAATCACGAGTGGTGCTGGCAGTGCGGCGGCCATTGGAACAGCCAACCAGCTACTGTGCCGCCCCCCTCAGGCGCAGGTGGCATTGGAGGCAAGGGTGCTGCGAGCCCGCCGCCTCAGGTTGGCCCTGCCATCCAGGCAGTCCAGCAGGCACTGACCGCGCTTGAGAAGCGTGCAGGTGCCGAAGGTGGCAGCCCCGAACAACGTCAGCATTGCGATCATCTACGTGATTTGCTTGCGGAGCTTCGTCGGGATCGAGATTCTCAGAAGACACCTTCTCAGCTGATACAGCAGTCAACGCAGAAGCTGCAGAAGGCGACCCAGGCAGTGGAGCGCCACAAGGTGAACATCGACAACTACCAGAAGGCGGTGACGGAGGCTGAAGGCATCTTGGAGCGTAAGCGTAAGATTCTAGCGGACGAGCAGCAACTCCTCACCACCAGCCAGGAACGAGTGAAAGAACTCACTAAGCAACATGAACAACAGCTGGCCCTTTCTGTTTCGGCGCCGTCAGCGGCTACGACACCGCAGGGACTCCCAGGTCCTGCACTACAGCTTGCTGATCTGAGGGCCGTTTTGGACCGGGCAGGCATTGCGAGCAACCTCAACCTCGGTCAGGCCTTTGCTATGTTTGCCAGTTGTTTTAATGAACATTTGGCGCCTCAGGCTGTTCAGAGTGCTACACAGGCACCCGCTGGCACTGCGGCGGCTGCGGCTCCTGCGGCTGCACCGCTCTCGCAGCCTGAGGCTAGTCCAGAGGCAGCCCAAGTCAAGGCTGCGGCTGCGCCACCACCAGCAGCTGCGGGCACCGATGCGGCGGCTACGGCGGTTGCTGCTTCGGCTGCAAAGACAGCTGGAGCGCCCGCGAGCCCCGCCCAGCCGGCTGCTGCTCAGGAGCGTGGCAAGACGAAGGATGGCAGTCGTTCTCCTAGGCGCGGTGGCGCGCCTGCTGAGCCCCCAGAGCGGGGGTAGCACACTCTCGGCGCAGCCTGAGCCACTTGGTTTGCTTGCGCCGCGCCTCACTCTGTCCTTTTGCATTGTAAATGGCTCGTGTTTTAAGTCGGCCCATGAGATTCTCGGGACCTTGGGGTCGGATGTGGTCTTTCTCCAGGAGACCAAGCTGATGGGCGACAAGTTGCTCTCGGTCAATCGGAAACTTCTGGCCGAGGGCTGGCTTTCGTTCTGGGGGCCCGCCGAGCCTGGGGAACCTGGACATTTCAAATCTGGAGTGGCTATCCTAGTTCGGAGGCATTTGGATGCTTGGGAGGACGCTGAGAAGGTTGCTGGCATCCCTAAGTCTCGGGCCATTACCTGCTATCTTAGAACATCCAGCTTCGGCGTTATTCAACTCTGTTCGATGTATTGGTATTCGGGAGAGGGGCTTAGCCATTCAAATGTTTTGCTGGGCAAATGGTTTGGTGACAAGGTGTGCCGTACTGGTCTGCCCTTTGTCTTGGGGGCCGATTTCAACCTGGACCCGTCCGTGTTGGCTACTGGGCTCCCTCCTGGACGGTATGGTGGTGAAGTGCTGCATGCCCCAAATGTGCCTTGTGTCTGGCGGTGTGAGTACGACATTGGACTATTTCGTCATCTCGCAGATTTTTTTGCACTGCGCCCAGGTAGTCACTGTGGATGCGAGTGCGGCCTTTTCGCCTCACCGCCCAGTTCGGCTCTGCGTAGATATTCAGACGGCGGTCAGGATGGTCCATAAGCTTATCCCTTATTCTTCCATCCCCATCTCTCTCCCCGTTGGCCCCCCTCCTGCTCCTCCCTCCTATGCCCTGGTGGCTCGGAGGTTGGAGGTTGCTGTAAATTCTTGTCGCCGCGAGGATGGCGCGCATTTTTCTGCTCCAGGTTCTGAGGACCAGCACCAGGACCTGCAGGAGGTCTTGGACACGGCATACCGAGAGTGGGCAGACTTTGCCTGGAGCGAGCTGTTAGGCCTTTTCCAGACCGACGAGAAGCCAGGACACATACGGGAAGGAAAAAGGTTGCGTTCCAGGAGGTCCCTGTGGCCACGCTTTTCCCCACCAAGGTTAACCTCAAGTTGTCGGCTTCCAGGGCTGTTTTTTGGGCGGCCAACGGCCTTCGGGAAGTTTTGTGTTTGCACCAGAGATATCCGAATGCTTGGGATCATCCGTATTTTGTGAAACTCCTTCAGCACACCAACCAGCTTGTCAGGAAGGGAGGGCCGTTCCACACTTTCTGGAAGGCTGGTGGAGCTGTTTGGCATCGGCATATCGCTGACATCGCTTGGAGGATCCTCAGACACCCTTCGGATTTTTGGTATGGCTCAGTGGCCGACCTCACCTTCTGGGAGGAGCATGCTAGGTTATGCGCCCGACATATGTTGTCCAAAGATCGTGCTGACCAGCGTGCTTCTTGGAATGAGTGGTGCGAGACCGCGTTGGCGGGCGGTGCTAAGTGGGGGCATGCGTGCACCCGTCTTGCTGCTGATCATTGTTTCAAGCATGTCCTCACTGTTGATGGCCCCTCAGCCAGTATAGATGCGAGGCTCAACCACCATGCTCGTGAGTGGGGTCAGGCTTGGGCTGAGGTGCCGAATCAGGTTCGGCGCTTTCGTGACCTGGCCGGCTTACCAGTGCCCGCTGCCCCTGGCGCGGATCGGCTGCGCGAGCTCTCCCAAGCCTTCCCTCGTGCCACTATTGCAGTAGAAGGTTTCCACCCTAGACATTATTCTCACTTGTGCTCCGAGGGCCTGGATGCGTTGAGCAGTCTGTGTACCCTTATGAATTTCTTGGGAACCCAGCCTACTGATGTTCAGCTTCTTCGCGTTCAGATGTTTCCAAAACCTACTGGGGGCCTCAGGCCGATCGGCTTTGTGTCGGAGTTTGGTTCGGCTTTACTCCAAAACGCTTGCTCATCGCAGTCGGTCGTGGGAGAAATCGGTCCTGGATGCAAAGGAGTTCTACATGGCCCCCCACAGGCGCGCCACGGACGGTATTTGGCGTGTCCCAGTAAAAGCGATTCTCGCTGATTCCCTAGATTGGAGTGTTATCTCTGTGCTCGGTGATTTGCAGCGTTCTATGAGAATATCTCCCACGAGGCGCTGGAGCGGGAAGCGGAGCTTGCCGACTATCCATTGCTTGCTCTCAGGGCTGCTATTAATATGTATTTGTGGGGGAGGTCCCTTACCATCGAAGGGGCAGCATCTCGGGTTATCTATCCGTCTCAGGGGGTGGTGGCAGGGAGCAGTACCGCGACCTATGAAGTCAAGGCACTCATGGTCCCTGGCGTTCGTGACCTAGCCCCTGCTCTTCCTGACTCAGACCTCGGGATATTTATAGATGACAACTGCCTCACCATTATCAACGATACGATGGATGGATGCCTCGCCTCCCTCACTATCGCCTTCCCTCGCCTCATCTCCTTTTTCCACGATCGCCTTGGGCTTAGGTTCGCCTTGCGCAAGTTTGCGACCGTGGCCAATCGGGCCGCTCTGCTTGGCCAATATGCTGGCGATGCGGCC